GAACTTGAACTTTACTACAGGGTAGACATGCAGAAATCCTCCATGGACTCCCCCACCTGTTTGGCTTCTTTTAGTGCCAATTGCAAAAGAGAGAGAGAGAGAGAGAGAGAGAGAGAGAGAGAGAGAGAGAGAGAGAATACCTCTACTCTCTGAGAGGCAGAAGATGCAGCAAAATTCTTCTGAACTGAAAAGGCAGAAATCACTGCTTGTGGCTCAGTTAAGATTATTAGAAGGGCTATTATTCTGCCATCTTTTTCTCACTTGAGACTTGATTTTGAAATCATGCTCTACAAGCTGGGCATGGTGGTGCAAACCTGTAATCCTAGCACTTGGGAGGCTGAGGCAGGAGGATCGTTGCAAGTTTAAGACCAGCATGGGCTATAAGGTGAGCTCAAGGCCAGCCTGAATGGCATAGCAAGACCTTGTTTCATGTAGAGGTGTATATATGCCTAGAGCTTCTCCTAAACAGTTTATGAGAATTGATTATATTATGTGTGATGAAGTGAACAGCTATTTTGAAGAAAAACAGACACTATGGTATCCATTGCTGATTTTGTATTCTCATGCCATGAAATCCAATAATGCTTTTATTCTTTGTTCAGAGTGGTTTTAGTCTGTTTTGTATTGTTTAATTTTAATATACATGAAGGTATGGGCAGCTATTTTGAAGAGAACAAGAGACATTATGGCAGCCATTTTTAATTTTCATATTGTTTGGTTTTGAAGGCCTGTAATGCCTTCATTACTCTGTTCTGATCAGTTTTTTTTTTTTTTTTTTTTTTTTTTTTTGTCTTTTTCCTTTTTATCAGTACCGGGGATTGAACTCACAACTGCCTGCTTGCAAGGCAGGTGCTTATGCTGCTGAGCTAAATCCCCAGTCCTTCTGATCACTTTTATACTATTTTGTTTTGTATGAATTCATTGTGTGTGAAGATATAGACAACCTTTTAGAAGAAAACAAGACACATTATGGTAGTCACTGTGGGCCTCCTGTTGTCTTGTTTTGAAATCTGTGTCACTTACATTGTTTTCTTCTGATCTACTTTGTTCTGTTTTGTTATGCTTAGTTTTAACCCTTTAAAAAATAAAATAAAATTTTAAAAAAGAACAAAGAAAGGAAGAAAAAAATAATACTCTGAACCAAATCCATTTTGGTTGTCCCAACAAATTTATGATCATTAAAGCACTCCCTAACACAAATCCACAAATGTAAATACAGAAATCAAGAATTCAACAAGCATTTCTACATACACCTGTGGTTCTTGAGAACCTGTCCCTGTTTTAAACCTAATATGGAACTGATGATATTAATGGGCTCCATATTGAAGCTATCGATATGTTGTTGGGTTCAATACTGATGATATCAATGGGATCAATACTGAGGACATCAATATACCTCTCTCGCTTCTGTATGCATAGTACAGATGTCCTCTCACCTGCTAAATGATCAGTTCTTCATGCTCAGGTCCCTGTTCAGGTGCAATATGCAATGTCCAGATCAGCTTTCCAACTTTCTGGGGTAGGGACCATGAAGGGAAGTGAGAAGGTGAAGAAATGAAGAGGAGACACAGAGAGCTGGGATCAGCCCACTCTCCACCACTGTAATGCTTTTATTTATACATTTGGTAGTTTGATGTCATGTGATATCGTTTTTGCCTAGCAACTGATTGCTTGGATTGTCCCAGGATTTCTTTGTTCTGGGGCAGACTTTACCTCACCCTCATATGTATGGTCAGTTTGCAGCTTCAGTGGTTCCCTACAGATTGCCATGAGGTCAAAGACAGCCTGGAGTGAGTTCGAGGCCAGCCTGAATTACATAGTGAGACCCTGTCTCAATAATTAATTAATTAATTAATTAACCAAAGCAAGTCTCCACTTTAATGCAAATTGAAGCAAAAGAAAATGAACACTAAACTTAAAATATTTTCAAGGCATTTCATAAATCTATTTGAATTATAAGGTACATTAATAAAAATGTTATTTTTCCCATTAATTGAGGCATTGAGAATATATAAAAGGGTTGATACATTGTGTCAGCTTGAGAAGACTGGAAGCTTAACTAAGTAACTCAGCAGCTCTATTTCCTCCAGTATAGAGGACATGCCTTTAAGTCTCTAGGATGTTGTTCACTGTGTCAATTTGAGAAGGTCAGAAGTTTAATTAAGCAATTCAACAGGGACCCAGATTCCTTACTTTGTACATATCCTCAGCCTGCACAAAAGAAGGGCACAGAGATGGTATGAGTATACCCACCTCAGGGGCGTAGCCTGCTTATACTACAAGGGAGGAAAAAAGGCTTGTTCTCCCCCCTCCACTTTTGCTCTTGTTGTTTTGCTGTCTTCTGCCACATTGAAGTGTCACCCTGGTGCCATGCCACCCTGCCTTGGAGCCAGCTGATTATGGATTGAAATTTCCACAAACTGTGAGCTAAATAGACTTTTCCTTCCTTAACTTTTGGTGTTGGGTATTTTGTCCTAGAAATAAATGTAAACAAGACAATAACAGTGTTATTTTATTTTTCCTCATTAACTGAGGCACTCGGGATATATAAAATTGAATAAATGATTATGTTGGAGTTTAGTGGCCAGGATTTATAGATAACTCAAGAAAGATTTTCATAGTGTTCTGTAGTTAGAAATACAGTGCTGAGGAAACAGATGAAGACCCACATAACCTGCTTAGGCTGAATACAGGAGGGTGGAACAGCATCTGCACAGTGGAAGCCACTGCTGGGCAGGACCTTCCTTTAGGGCAGACTGGGAATTTGCCACATGGAGAAAGAGAAAGGCACTAGGAACCTACACAGAAGAACAAGAAAATAGTCGTCTGGTGTAGGCAGCATGGGGCAAATTGTAACGCAGTAAACATGAAGCTGAAAAAGTTGAGGAGGGCTTTGTCGAAAGTATGAGGCATATCAAACCTAAAGACCTGGGGTGTTAGGCACCACGACTTTCAACTTAGAGTAAACTTCTAGAAACTCCAAAAGGATCTTGCACCACAGCTCCACGATGGGGTTTATTTCATGAGCCCATTCATTCCTCCATTCATTCACGTCCTAATGTAATAAGACACCAATAGTGCTGTTTATTAAGGAGCTAAAGTTCAGAAGAAAGACATGTAAATGATATAAAAAGGTGACATCTGAGGTGGGCTCTGTAGGCAGGTGTGAGTTGAACAAGTCTCATTTCTATGTTGATTAGAATGAGCTGAAGATACTTCCTGCATTTCTTTTTGTAACTGGTCTGCTTCCAAGGTAGCACTTTAAACATTAAAGAGAAAACACAGGAATAGTAGTTTGTGGGTAATATTTGAAGTGGCAATGGCCATTAGTGGAAGTAAATACAGAAAAGGCTGCTTGCTTCTCAATGCCGTCTTGCTACATTGCCCAGGCAGTTCTCCCACATAAGATTCTCCTGTCTCGGCCTCTCAAGTGCTGGTACTACATGTTTTTCCCAATCACATCCAGCTTGAGAAATTTCCCCTTTTTGTGTGTCTTCATTGATGTGTATTACTGCAGGCTAGAGAGAAAAGAAACACATACACAAACACTATACATTTATGTATATCTACCATTCCCTTGGACATAGGTCTCAAACAATTGTTGAATTAAATTGAACTCTTTTGGGTTTCATTAGAATTGTAATCCTTAAATGCCACATAGTTGTTAAATAATCGTGTGACAGAGATTAGAAAATAGTGAGTAAACTAGCAAGGTGAAGAAACAAGACCACCGTACAGGTCAGCCTTAAAAATCACAAAACTACAGCACTTACATTAGAAGTAAGAATCTTGTTCCTCACACACGCACTCTGTCTAACTTAGCTATAAAGGCCAGGCTGCAGGGAACACCTGCCTGAGGAGGGGACCTAGAGCTCCAGGTGAGCACCCCAATAGAGTAACAAGGCAACGGGGCTTAGGACACGGAGGAGGGATTCTCAGAACTGGCTGATGCCAGCCCGAATCACTGCCACACCCTTACAGCGCTGGTGGGGTGCTTATGTTGAAAGGCTTTGTACAAATTTAAGCAAACACTTCTCTAGAGTCATGTACACATTAAAATAATACTAATACCTAGAACTGAAGTTATAACGTATCTACTAGTATTTATAACACAGGCACTTGGTGAAAATCTTATTATCCAGTTTGCTAGTCGTAATATGACCCCGTGGGTCCTAAAATCAAGATTCTTGTTGCACATTATGGTTTTTATAAATTTTTAGAAAAACAGAATGAACTGAGTTTGAAACAACTACCAAGAGGGTTAAGTTCTTTTGTTTTGTTTTGTTTTTTTACTATTGAGCAGTAACTACATGTTTCTTAGTTTGAAAATCATTTTGTTTTCTGTGATTATGGAATTTACAAAACTCAGAACTAACAATCATACAGAAATGGTTCTCAAAGGAGTGGAAAGAAGAAATGTCATCTAAGATTTTTTCTGGCCGTCTTTGGCTTGTGTTTTGGAAATGATGCCCTGGCCTCCAACTCAGACAATCCTGCCTCAGCCTCCCGAGTGCGGGGAACAGGCTGGCGACCCTCGCCCTGCTCTGCCGGTGTTAGTGAGTTCCAGCCCGGCCTGCTCCGCACAGCAGCGACCTCGAGAGCCTGTCTCCAAGCGAGAGTGGGCTGGGGAAGCCGCGCGGACCCCGGAGCTCTCCGCAGGCACGCGCGTGGGGCGCGCTCCCCGGTGCCCGCAGCGCCTCCCGGAGGGGACCCGACTCCTCCCGCGGTACGCGGGAGCCTGTGTGGGGAGCCTGGGTCTGCTGCCTCCGGAGCGCCGGGTTCACGGTAAGACGCCTGGAGAGCGGAGGCGAAGCTGCTTCTGCGGAGGGCGGACGTGGGAACTCCGCGGCCACGGCCGGCGCCGTCAGCCCACGGACGCCGGACTGAGGGAAGCGAGCTGTGCAGGAGGGGCGTGGCTTCTGTACAGAGGGCTGGGGGCAAAGGGCAGGGGGCAGGGAGCAGGGGGCAGGGGGCGGGGGCAGGGGGCGGGGGCAGCCTGGCGCCTCCTCAGGCTGAAGGAGCCGCGCGCTGTCATGTCGCTGTCGCGGCCCTGCCCGCGCCCGCCTCCCGCGGACCCAAAGCGCGGGGCTCCCGGCGGGAAGCGGCCCCGCCTGGGGGAGCCGGGCTGGCGGCTGCCCGCCGTGCGGCCCCCGTCCGAAGCGGATCGCGCGTGGGTGTGGCCGTCCCGCGAGCCTCCCCTCGTCCTGGCCGCCGGGCTTTGGGGCGGCGGCGCGGCTGAGGCGACTCCGGCCCCCGCGCGTCCCCGCTGTACGCAGCCGCCGCCCGACGAGGAGGAGGAGGTCGGGGGCGCGGCCGAGCGCGCGCCGGGCTCGGGGGGCGCCGCGGCCCGGGGCGGTGAGGAGGAGACCGCGGGGCTGGAGAGCCGCGCCGCTGGGGCGCGCGCCCGGGAGCGGGAGCTGCGGGCCGGGCCGGAGCGTCTAGCCGCGGGAAGGGGCTTCTCGGGGTCTCGGGAGAGCGCCCGCCGCTCGCTCCGCCGCCGGAGGGTTTCCGAGCGCCGGGCAGCGCGGGGCCCCGCCGGACGGGGCTGCTGGGTTGTGGAGAGCGGCGAGGCTGACGGGGAAAGGGTGGAAAGATCTGGAGAAAAGCCGAGTTTGCTGCAGTTACAAGCAACAGACCCTTTGGGCGAGGCAGAGGGTCGCAGTGTGAAAGCCCCGAGAGTGCAGGAGCGGTTAGCGCCCCTGAGAGTGCAAGAGCTGGGTAGCCCGAACATGCGAATGAATATCGCTTGGCTGAACAGTAAAGGCGAAAATGATAATGTGCTACAAATAAGCTACCACACCATGGAAAAAGATTTCCATGTACGCAACATTTTCCAAAGTATTATTACAGAAAGTTTTCATTTCCGTAAAAATATTTTAAGAAACCAAAGGCATAATAGAATTTTAAGCTGGTGTCAAATTTTGCAGTGCAAAAATCAAATTGGTGTTAATCTAATCAGGAGTATCAATGTCAATATAAAGAATGACATTTTAAGCAAATATGTACAAACCAGTGTTTCAGAACACTTAAATATTTTTGCAACATACATAGCTTATATGTTCAACAACTTTAATTCTTTAGCCAGAATTGAAGATGATTCTGAATTAGAGGAGGGATACACTCTGAAATGGATTGTGCATTTGAACTATTCAAAACGTATTACAGTGGAAGGTTATACTGTATATATAATTAGGACTGTAAGTTTTTCAAAATGTTTAGAAGATATGAAACCTGTGTTAAACAAAAGAAAGCCTATATTTGAAACCCAACAAATTTTTGAATGGTCTAAGAAAGAAAACTTTGATTCTTTTAGTGCAACACCTAAGAATGTGTATTTTCCAATTTTCAAAGTATGTGGGAAAATTCCTTTTTTAATGGGCTTTGGTGACATGGCAGGACTTTCTTTGATAAAGAAGTCTAGTTATAAGAATATGAGTTGGTTTGAACAACACATGAATGTAGATGTCTGGGTTTACTGCAACTTTATTACTGTTAAGACACATGTGAAATCTGGTCCTCAGTTTATACAGGAGTACCATGGACTTATTAGTGGAAAATGTCGTGAAATAAACATGCACAACCAGGATTTAGGGGATAAGAGAAAACAGGCTCCTAAGAAGGTCAGTACCTTTAATTCTAAGCATACACTTGAAGGTTCTTTTAGTGTTAGACAACAGTCTACACTGGGAAACCAAAATACAGTACATAGTCTAGCAGTCAATAGCATGATTGTAAATCAGATGCTGAATTTTGAGAGCTTGCAAAATGAAATGGAAAGACCCAAACATGACTTTATTTTGAAGGAAGTAAAAGTCACAGCACAGAGTTCAATAAATAGTTGCCAAGTTTGTATTAAGATAGAAAAGGAAGAAAATAGGTTTTCCCCAAAGACTGGCATGCTTTCTGTTCAGTTACTTTCGCGGAGTAAGAAAGTAAATATGAAGGAAACTAAATCTGTTAATCAAAATAACACAGCGAACAAAAGTGAATACGAGAGTATTTTGCAAGAAAATGAGTTAGCTAATTCAAAGCATTTTCATCCAAAGAGTGATGCTACATTATATGTTAATCAGCAAGTTGAAACTGATTCAAATGAAGGGAACAATGAACATTTTGAGAATTTAACTGCAAAATGTTTATCAACAGAAGCTTTGAAAATAGCAAAAGACTTTGAGATGAAGAGTAAATTTGATTTGGTGCTTAAAGAGCTTCGTATGTTTCATGAAATTAGTAAGGAAAATGAAACTTCAACCATCGTGGAAACAAACAATGGGCAACAAAATTACTTTGAAGAAAGTAATGATAAGGAGGCAAAAATGGAGATACAAAAACATTTGAAATTGGTTACAGCTGACAGAGAATGTGTGCCTCCTTTGCCCAGTGATACAATGGTAGGCCCTCATTTTGATAGAAGACACCAAAGTTTATTTAAGTGGAAAACTGTACCCTGTAATGGGGAACAGGAAGTTCCCAGTGTGTACTGCTGTCCTAGAACAGTGGAGGAAGAAATACTCTGCTCTATTTATGAGCAAGGTATGTAATTCATTCTAAAATATTCTTTCTCATGATACAATATTTACTTCTTTTCTTGTGTATATAATTTTGGCAGACGTAAAGCACAAAACAAATGTTTATTGATGTATTTTTTTTGCAAATGTTATTTAAATGTTATACAATATGCCAAACTTGCAGCAATAAATTAGTAATTTTTTTGGTAATTTTTAAAGCGAAAGTCTGAAGAGTCTTCACCAAATATGATGAGATAACTGAAGCATGTATTTGTGAAAAAATAATTTGTTTATAATGCTAACAGTTTTACATGAAAGGTACTTTTGCTAAAACGTATTATCTTTATTTTCAGATGGTAAAAATTCTTTTCATAAAGATCCTGCTCTATTCCCTGGTGAATATGTGGAAGGAAAATTTAATTATTTATCAAATAGAGGTAAGATCTTTGGGCATTTTCTAAAATATCTTGTAAGATTACTATTAATGTTTATATTTTATATTTATGATGAAAATATATTTATAGTATTAGAGAATAAATGTAATTTTCAAGACATTAATAATTTACTGACATAAATGCAAAAGTTAGAAATTGATTAAAAATTAAAATGCCATTTAGAATACTAGTGGGACATACATACTGCAAAAACTACATTCAAATATTTGCACAGATCTAAGGTAATAAATATGTGGTAAAATAGGTGTTGTATATGTCCAGTGCAAATGTTTAACATACGTAACCTTACTGACAAAACCAAAGAGAAAAGGGTTTAACTCAGTTGGATATCTACTGACATTGAGATGTCACTCCCAATTATGTTTTGTACTTTTATTATATAGAATTTTTATTATGTTAGTATGGATATTTTATAAATTAAAATTCTGTTTAGGCATGTTAATGTGAGTTTTGAGAGTGGCATTAAATTTTTTATTACCATTAAATATAAAACAAAAACAGCTGGGTCTTTGCTTAAGAGTTCTACAATATCAGAATAAAATTTGATATGTCTAATTATTCTAATTTGTGGAACCAATGCATGTAGATAGAGATGGGCTTAAAAAGTTAGAGAAGTAGGTAAAGTTATTAGTTGAGTTAGAAATTTCTAATGTATTAAACAAAAAATTAGATCTGAAAAAGTAGCATTGTAAATAAAATATATTTGCTAAAACATCCCCAGTGGTGCATCATTTCTTCAAGTGTTTCTCCTGGCTTATTATCATCAGTAGAATGTTATCTTTAATATCTTTGTTACTTCAGAACTTTCTTTTCCTTCTTTGCTTAATTTATAATGAAATAATCTTAAAAATTGATGCCCTTAGAAGGCTACAGATAGTCTCTTCTCAGTGAGCAAAGGAAATATTTAGTGGATCAATACTTGGTAAATCTAAAAGGAAAGCTGGGAGAATTATCCTGGAAACCCAGGTGTGGTGGTGTACCCTGTAGTCCCAGCACCCTGGAGGGCTAGGTGGGAAGATGGCAAATTTAAGCCAAGTCTGGGCAACTTGGCGATTTAGCAAACCCTTTCTCAAAATAAAAATTTTAAAATGTACTTCAGTGGTAGAGAGGCCTCCTGGGTTCAATAGACAGAGGGAGAGAGAGAGAGAGAGAGAGAGAGAGAGAGAGAGAGAGAGAGAGAGAGAGAGAGAAGAGAAGAGAAGAGAGAGAATGTTTAGGGGATTACCTTGCGTAAGATATGATTTCTAGTATGAGAAAAAGGGAAGACATTGGATTAGAAACATGCCTTGATATAGAAGTAGATGAGGGCGCACATAGTCATGTTGTCACTGTGATTATAACTGACATGTGAAGTGAATATATGAAACAAAGTGTAAGTACAAGAAATGATATCTTGGAGATACCTGCAAGTCCATAACCATGTAACTCCACCCTCACTAGATAAAGTGATCCATCCTGAAGTAAAAGAAAAGGTCACCCAGAATTGTATACTACTGTGTTAGATTCACTTTCAAAGTGCAGGAAAACTGAATAATTTTCCCAGTGTTTATTGAAGTCCATAGTGTAAGGGAAAAGTTGGGAGATACTGGGATGCAGGGTTATGAGAGCAGGCAGTGCTCTGCTTAGGTGGAGTGGGTGCCTTTGACACTGATTGTATAGGCCTCAACAAGATCCCAGCTGTCTTGAAATGTTTTGGTATGTCCCCACCTATCATCACGATGCCTATTCTTATAATTAAAGTTTTTACCCCTGTTTTCAGGGCATCCTCTCTCTGGCTCTGGCTCTGTGGCACAGAGAAGGATATTTTTAAGTTATTTTGAGCAGATGTTATATGCCTTTCAGCTAGTTTCCAGCTGTTTTGTGTATCATTTAGACTAATGCTTTTCTAACTTTAATATATGTGTTAATCACATGAGGGTACTATTCAGGAGTTCTTTCAATGGTGGGATTCTACAGTTTTAGCCTAACCCAACAGATGTATACGTGGCAAGTCGGTGGATCACATGTTGAATTGCAACCATTTAGGAAGCAATCAAATTGTATCATTTCATACAATTGAATTATAATTTCATGACAGTTTGGTTTAGCATTGACTTTTATAAAATGAGAATTCCTGGTAGCATACTTTTAATGGTTATATTCATTAAATAATATAAAATGATAAATTAATCCAGTGCTTAAGAATAATAAAGAATCATAATTTAACAAAAGAGACAGAGGAATACAGTCTCACAACCATAATTTAATGACTAAAGTCATATACTGTGTAAAGGCTTGACTGTTTATTCTCTGATCTCCCACGCATTAAAAATTTACCAGAAGTATCTATCATATTTGACATAAAACTATATTTTGAAAAAGTAATCAAATCCTATAGACTAAAATTCTTAGCTTCTGAAATAAAGTAAGGAAGTATGCCTAGCACATGTTGCTGAAATTGTATAGCTTATAGCCAACCCAATATATCAGATATTATCTGAACATGTGGTCTTATGTGGACAACCCCTTTTTGTTTAAAAAATGCAGCAGTAAAATGGCATTTTCCTCTTAGTTTTTATAATTAAATTTATAATTTGAATGTTAAATCAAAAGTAAAACTGATTTATAGTTATTTTGATGGTGTTAAATTACTTTTCTCCTTATTTACATGCAGCTTAATTTTATATTGTTTCATTAATTTTGCAAAGATACATAGCTTCTATTGTATTTCATTATTAACAGCAACCAACACACTTACCTGTCTAGTTAACTGATTTAATAACAAGTATATCTCCATGAAATAATTTGAACCTTTTGACAATAATATTGTGAAGTTAAATAAAAACTTAAAAATCAGAGCTATTACTGTATATAATAGGTAATACATTTGAGTTCTATTATTGATGCTAATTTCAGAGACCAAACATAATTACTAACCAACAACATGACATTTAGCTTCTAACTGAAAAATGAAATGTTTAAAGTAGTACAGCAGTTTGACTTTAAAGTCTATTTAGTGTTGTTGTTAAATCAGACTATCTGAATGCTAATTTAATCTTGTTATTTCATAGTAGTCTAGTGATAACCTTTCTGTGGTTAGGTTTTTACATTTTAAAACAATACAGGATAAGGTAAAATAAGTGTCTGGCAGGTAAATAAAAAATGTTCGTCAGTGCTCGGCAAATGTTGATAGTATTATAGTTAGAAGCAAGCAAAGAGTTTTAAGAACACTGGTTATTTTACTGCTCTTATTGTCTGATGTTTTTAGGTATTTCTCAGGGCATTTCAAGAATCCAGCCTCTTAAGACATGTAACCGACCAATCAGGATTGGTTTGTCAAGAAAAGCAAGATTTAAGAAACTCCATCCCTACCTGAAATAAATGTGTTATAAGAGCTTAAAAGATTTCGGACTTTTGAAACATTTCATAATGTCCAGAAATATCTTATGGCTTTCTTTGGATAAGTGATTTTTCCCACTGTGGGGAGCTTCTTTGTTGCTCAATGTACAGAGGTTATTGTGTGTGTGAAGTATTACCTTTAAAAGTTAGGAAATACTTTATTAATATTTTCATATCATCAATATGCATATTAAAGTCTTTTTATGATTTTGTAAAACGTGTCTTTTTGTGGAGATGAACGATAACTTTTATACATTTTTCATAGAATTCATGGAGCCACTGTTGGAAGCCACTGTCTCCATGTTTCAGATGAAAAGGTGGAAGTGTAGTTTTCCAAGTGAGCTGCCCAGGTCACAGGGTTGTCCTAGGATTGGGGTGGAGGTGCTTTCAATAATCTGAAGAATCTTGTCTCCCCTTTCTTGCATTCCCAGTTTTCCTTTGTCCCTCCTGCTACTGGAAATTGAATCCAGAATCTTCACTGAGAGCTATATCCCAGGCCGTTTAGTTCTTTGTTTCTTTCTTTTTATTTATTTAGTTCTTTTTTAAATTTTAAAACAGGGTCTCACTAAGTTGGCCAGGCTGGGTTCAAACTTGTGATCCCTCTGCCTCAGCCTATAGAATATTGGGATTACAGGCTTATAGCATGATGCCTGGCTCACGATCTGAATTTTATTTCTTCCCCCAGAGTCTGTCTTTGGCCCCAGAGTAGAATTATGATTATATCTAAGAACTTCTATGAACTTATTCATAAAACAAGTACATTGTCATACTGGTATTGCTGTGATAGGCTCAGTGATAGAGAAGACCTTGCCTAACGGAACTTGCTTTCTGTACTTAGGCTTGGTAGAGAAATACAGGATATACACAATTTAAAGGTAACCCTCATCAGAATAAGTATACTTCAAAAAGCATCAGACAGATAAATAATAGAATCAGCCACTTATCAAAAAAGAAGAAGTATCAAGAGAGCATAAAAAATGGCTTTCATTGCAGAGGTAAGTCTAAATGTATTAATTGTTAGGGTTATTTCCTATTATAAGCAAAGGTTTTCAGACTTACTAAAAGTCACTTCAAATCTGGCTCTATTAATTTCCACTTCATACCATATTTTTTATTTTCTTACCCTGCTGTAATCCATTCTTACAGTAGTACTTCTCATGCTATAAATTATGTCTTGCTAGAACACAGGCTGCTTAAAGGCAGGATTAGTTTCTCCTGTTAATATACCCAAGTGCTTAGAATAGTACCTGACTCCTAGTAAATATTCATAAGATACTATATGACTATAAATGGATACATTTCAACTCCTGTCTCAAAATAGCAATATATTATTATTTTTCTTTTTCCTTTTATTTTTTAAAATTGCCAGATAAAATTGTATCTTGACAGATTATATATTTAAATAAATTGTATATATATATTGTGCATGTATTAAATTGTATATATTTAAATGTGAATTTTATATATTTCTTTTTCATAAGATAGTTACATTTAGCATTTAGCTAATTAATATGTATTATTAAAACATATAGCTACCATTTTTGTGGTAACAACACTTGATATCCACTCAGCATTTTTGTTTGTTTGTTTTTCTGGCTGTACTG